TGGATTTTGGTAGGGCTTATATTTTCAAATCGAGACCCCCAAATTTCACAATAATCTGATTTCACGATAATCCGTAACATTAATTACCAACGACTTCTGTGCCATATACTAAAGTTGAAATATAGATGTTAGTATTTCGTCACAACAATTTATATTGATAATATTAAAGTAAATAGGCAATGCATACATAATGGAGTCTTAACTCGCCAAATGTTTCGTTTGACCCCAGTCAATGGTTCATCAAATGATAATGTTTTGACAAAATTATCATCTACAGTTATAATATATATGCTATTTATTCTATTAAATGTACTTGATAAAACTTTGCATGATGTTGTATTTGTAGTTTGAATTATATTACAATCTGACGCTGGATAAATTTGACGTAATAAATAATTGGATTCATTAATAACTTGAAAGACAGTAAGATTTCCAGTAGATAAAGCAATTGTAGTGAAGAAAGTAATAGTAATATTTATATTTTCATAAGTTGAAAGAGATGTTAATGTCTTATCTTGTTCTGGTTTTGTGGACAAAATTGCCGGGTTATTAAACCCATCTATGAAAATACCATATAAAAATTAGTGAAATATATTTAAAATGGTTTAAACGTTTAAAGCATAATTAAAAATTAAAAAAACTTACAATTATTAAAAAAATATTCTGCGTCTTTTGTAATAATATACCAATTCTGCGAATAAACACTATTCATAGCGATCCAAACAGTATTATTACCAAAAACGTCATAGCTAGCACTAGAACTATAATGTTCTCGTGTATCTGCTGGGATCTCAAAAGAATTACATTCTTTATCAATATTACAAATAAATCCCAAAGATTGATTAAATTCATCATAATAAAGATAGCCACCATATTTTAATGGGATAACTATACTATGAAAAATCTTTTTTAAAGTATTTGGCAAATAAACAGTGTTAGCTGTGCCCGTTTGAATAACGGAACCAGATGTTGAAAATTTAATAAATTTTATAACAATAAAAGGATTATCATTCTGAGAACGAAATATTAAAGATATAAAGCAAATGCTACTTTGTAAATCACGTGAGGTAAA